TTGAACAGCACGGACAGCGTTGCGCTGGGAAGGAATGAGGGATGCATTACAGAAAAGTTTAACTGAGTTTTCTAAGAGATTAAGTAACTGAGCCCACTGACCCTTACTGACTCAGCTAACAAACAGTATTGCAAATGTGCTGTCATCAAGCAATGTCTATAAGCTGCTTCCAGTGCTTATGAGTGGGTCTTTGTTGTACAAGGTTACTCTTGACCTATTGGCTGTTTTCTGCAAAGGCTTACCCCCTACCGACTGCTCTGAATCAGAGGCATGGAAGAGTCCATAATTTGAGATTAAAACTCTGCATTAGTTTAGGTTCTATCATCTGATTACATGACAATTCCAAGACAAGTTACATTGTTGCATTGTTCTCTTAAGGACAGGATAAACAAATAGGTGTATATACTGCAGGATATCTAGCTAAGTCTTAAGTGACCTTGAGGTATATCTTTACCTTCACTGTGAGATCCAGCCTAAGGTCCAGTCTTTTAGAACATAAAATGTAGCAACATACCATGTTTAACTCTGCCACGTGGGCACAATAGTTCAAACACTGGGGGCTACTTGTGGGCAGTCTAACAGAAGAGTAGACACTCACTAAACACGTACGTCTGAATACGCACATACATCTGTGCTGGATGTATGCCTGAGATCATTCGAATTCATCATCCCTGAGAAACGGGGATGACCTATGGAAGCTAAGACCTCAGCTGTGAAACGTGTTGCTTTGGTCTATGTTTCTAGAACTTAATTCATTAGAGTCACTTGAAGAACTGTGAAATCGCAGCTGCCTCGCAGCAGCCCCAGAGTTTCTGAAAGGTAAGATCTGGGATAAGGATCAAGAATTTCCATTTCTCAAAATGCCAAGGGGGGCTGCTGAGACTGCAGCCTCAAAGACCCCATGAAAGCTGATGGGGTCCATCAGATGGATAGCTGATGGGGCACGTCAGATGGCTGGGCTTTTCTGAGGCAGGACTGCATCCAGAGCCGCCAGCTTGCCAAAGCTCCCTGCTAGCTGGCTAGAATCACTCTGCAGTGTGCATGCCAGGTGAACTGTGTTCTCTCACCTGGCAGGACCAGCAGACGTAACTTCTCTTCCTAGAGTGACCTACTCATTGGTACTTCCTTGACTGCCTCCACCTACACAATTCAGCTAAATGCTTCTTTAGGGAACCCTTTCTGAATGTCCTGGCATGCAATTTAGTGGCTACTTGCCACGTAGTTGTTAAAGATGCCCCATTTGTACTGTATTTCACTCTCATTTACTGTTTGGTCAGTGCTGGTTTGTTTGTTTGTTTGTCTCCAGCTGCTCTCGTATGTCCTGTTGTAAATTTCTGGGAGATTCTCACTATTTATCTCCTGCCTTACTTGTCACTGTGCAAGACCTGTTAGGCATCTAGCAACTGCTTGGGACAATAGCTAGTGCAGAGAGTTTATCTCACACGGTGTGTGGTACACACTGGATTGACAGGAATCTGACCTGTGATGAGTGCGCGTGCCCTCCATCTGTCTTACATTATAAGAGCCTGGACACTTGTAGTCACTTCTTGCCGGAAAGTATGGCTTTGGAAAAGGTTAATTGTATGGACGACAAGTACAGCTCTCTCCTGGTGAAACTCCTTCACTTTTTTTTTTTTTGGATGGGTGTCCTATCTGCCCTCAACATCTGCCTCTTGCTGATTGCCAATGCTGGCTTGGCAGCCACATTGACTGGCTGTCCTTGCTCTCCATTATCCATCCCTGAATGCCCTTTCCCAAACTCTGCACTCTGACAAGAGGACGACTGTCCAGGGAGGTGATAGTTTTGTTGTATCCTTAGGTGGGCCTACCTCTGCTAGCCGTTTTAGGCTTAGGCCCTCAGGAACAGGTTGATTGACTGTGTTGTGTCAGTCAGAGAAGTGGGCTTGGAATTCTTTGTTGATTGAGTGTGTATCTGGGATTGAAGAGATCTCTGCTTCCCAGCTTGTGGCTGTGGGAGGGGAGAGATAGGTCAGGCTGTGAGTCAGAAGGTGAAGCTTCACAGGAGGAAGGGGATGCTGGAGGAAGGGAAACAGTAATCTACGCTGGACCAGAAAGGGAGAGGGCCATTAACATTCAGGCTGCCATCTTGTTGTCCCTGATGGTCCCTGAGCCTCTCTGTCCAGGATCACCATTATAAATAAATACACAGGATGGAGGAAATCCCAATTTCCAATGTGGGGATAATTCAGGAAATCAGAGCTTCCTGCAAGTTAGGCATTCATTCTGTACTTGCGGAAACTGCAGTAATTTAGAGTAGTTCAGTATTTAGACTCAACTGTGTAATTCATCCTGATGTTTCCCATTCATCAAAGCCTGTGTTTGTTTGTATTACCATGAGAAAAATTAAAAAAGAATGTAGGAGAAAGACGATTTCCCCTCCTTTTATTATAGGCAAATTATGGCAGAGTTACAACCCTTGGGGCCCTTCAAGCAAAGGAACATCTTGCTTCAATTAGATATAAATAATGAACAATAATTAGAACGATTTCTTCATCAAATTTGTTATTTCATGTCTCCTTTCATCTGCAATGTATTGAGATGAATCCTGAGCTCTGTTTCTAGCCCACAGAGCAGGACCAGGGAATGCTATAAAGTGTGCCACCACAGCCGAACGGAGAACCTGTACCATGCAGACCCTTGTGTGCTTGCTGTGCAGGCTGCTGTCAGCCCTGGGCCCAGAACCGCGGGGTAGTGATGGAACTGCTTCATCTCCAGGCCTCCAAAGCCTTATTTCTGGTGGGACTCATACATAGAATACTAACTCAGAATCATGACCTCCAGCTCTTAGGCAATGGCCCCATCAGGTACCACTCTTTGTCCTGAGTATAAATCCTCCTTAATCCTCAATAAGAACCCACTGCTGCAGGCTCAACCTCTAGCCCTCATCTTAAGGTTTGGAAACTAAGGCACAAAGATATCAGTGAACTTGCCCAGGCCCACCTTATTAGTGATGGTAGGGCCTAAAAACAAAACAAGCAGCTAATCTTCAAGCTGTGGAGACAGCATAGGGAGTCCTGGGCTAAGGATGACTTTACAGCTAGATTTGTAGAAGTCTACAGGTACATGACTGGGATAAAGGGGTTCCCAGCAAAAAGAAGAGCCATAGCCTAATAGCTATGGGTGGCATCTCTTATTTTCAGGTTGGTAATGGTGCTAAGTAGGGACAGGGAAAATCACTGGATATGAGCCAAAGACAGAAATTGTACAGATCAGCCAGCCTGGCAAGATTGGTTGGTGTGTTGGTAAGTGTTTTGTCTAATTGGCACAAGTTTGGAAGATTGGGAAGACAGCCACTCAACAAAGAAAGTGCCCCCTGTCAGATTGTTTGTAGGGAAGGCAGTGGGGGATTTTCTTGATTAATGCTTGATGTGGAAGGGTTCCGTCTACTAGGGCTGGTTCCATCCCAGGGCAGGTGGTCCTGGGTTGTACAAGCTAGTAAGCAACATGCCTCCAAGGTCTCTGCTTCAGTTTCTGTCTTCAGGTTCCTGATCTTCTCTTCATGTTAGCTTTTAAGCTGTAAGATGATATAAATGCATTCCTTTCCAGTCTCCCTTTGGTCATGTTGTGTATTGCATCCATAGAAAAACAAAATAAGACAGTTGGGTTGACTCTTCCTGGTGAAAGATTTGATAAGAGGTACAGGTATTGGTATTGGTTGATAAAGGAGATACTGAGAATTTCAGAAGAAAAATAGATAAAAGGTGATCTGGTCAGACCCTGGAGAGAAAGCTTGAATTCCCATTGGGACTTTTAAAATTCTGTAAATTGGGCTGGTATATGGCATTCTAACTGTCGTGATAGGCACGACTTTTCAACAGCAAACAAGAGTACCGTACTAATTCATCCTTCCTGCCTCACTACTGAGGATTCCTGACTTAGCAGTGGCTCAACTAAAGTGTCTTTGATGATCTAATGGGGTGAAAATAACAAGCACTAAAAGCTGTATTTTAAATGTTGAGTTTGGATCTCTTCCTGGGCTAGTGATATATGGAAAGATTCTCTCTTGTGGAACTGGGTGGCAGCAATGACTGGATCTCCAAGTGGGCCAGGTGATCTTGTGGATTTAAATTGATCCTCTATCGTGTGCTGTGTTGCCAGGTTTATATATGGGTGCTCGAGCATACACACATACACATATTAAATAAGTAGCGGATATTTCATACTTTATTCACAGTATTCCATGTATGATAACATAGGTGATGTAGACACAGTAGGGTTAGGCAGGTGTATGAAGCACATGTTCAGCTTAGTGGCATTTTCAGTTCAGGATGGCTTTGCTACCATACAAAGCAGAAAGTCGAGAAGTATATACATTTCTCTTTTCAGAAAGAAGCCTTTTTCTCTGAGCCCTGTTTAGTTGTCTGTTTCCAGGCTGCTGAGGGGACTTCCTGAGACACTCTGGCCTTCTAACCTGTGTCTTGCTAGAACCCCTCAAATTGGTTACTAGGTGCTCAGCGTCATTAATTGGCTGGAACTCCAGCATATCTGCAACTTTTGGAGGGGACATCTATTAATTGATTCAGCATCGTAGTGTGTGTTGGTGCCAAAGTAACTCAAGACTAGTCATCTGCGTCATCCATCCTGCCCGCTCAGCTTTTTGATGTACAGGGCAGAAACACCAGTAATTTGTGTTTTGTGCTGCCCTGACTCTGTTATACGATGATTTCCTGCCTTTATGTATATATCTGTAGCTAGACTCAAAGCTTGCTGATGGCAGGAATTATTTCTTACTTATTGTTTCATCCTTTGATCTCAATACAATACCTGGTTTTATATGCTCGGTCATTTTACTGAGGAAACGTAGCTGTGATATGTGGAAGCTGGGCTCCAGGCTGAGACATTTGGATGCTGGGTGTGACGAATGTGGTTAATGGGTCATTGTAGGACTTAGAACTCAGAAGGGGCTCGCGGGCCGTTTTATCCTTACAATGTATAATATGCAGCAAGTACCAATGTGTCACTCTCTCTCTGCCTTTCAGGACGTTTCAGGACCTGTCCAAGCAACTGGAGATGTCTTATGGCACCGTGCGGGATTCTGCTGTCTACGAGTACTTCAGAGCCAAGGGTACCAATCCCCTGGAGCAGGACAGCACTTTTGCTGAGCTCTGGCGGACCATAAGCAAGAATGGAGGTGCCGACAACTGTGTATCCAGTCCTTCAGAAGGCATCAGAAAGGTAGGCACAACTGGGATCAGGGTGCAAGAACTGGGAGAGAGGCCATGAATTGTATCATGCATTAGACCAGCGATATCTTCCCAGAGGCATCTGCTTGTAGGTAATCCATCCTCTTATTGCTCAAGTTGATGCCCACTCTTAGCTGTAGAAGCAGAGGAGCTGTGCAGTAGATGCTGTTTGGGTTTCTGTGGGAAAGTTGGTCAGGGGAGGGCAGAGAGGTTAAAACAGAGCCTCGCGCCTCTCTCCACATTTGCCGTTCATCTTGTGGCACCATGAACCTGCTCCTTACAGCTGAAAGCACTTGGTGAAAACAGAGCTCCAAGTGAACAACGAGCACCTTTGGGACAGGTGTACCCATGGCATGTGTCCCGAGATGCTAGCACAGGGAAGGCCACATGGGGCAGAGATGATCGGAGAACATCTTTGGGCTGTACTATGAAGAAGGGGTCTTTTGTGGATGGTAGGAAGGACAGTGGTTCTGGGATGGAGCCTGTACTGGAGAGGGAAGAGGCCAGAGCCAGAGTAGAAGGTCAGAGAAAGCCTATCATCTTCCGGTTTGCCTTTTTGCTTTCTGTTGTTGTTATAAACACCATGGCCAAAAGCTGCTTGGAAATGGAGGGCTGTTTTTGTTGTTTTTCATCTCCGGATTCCCGGTTACAGTCTGTCTTTGGGGGATGTCAGGCAGGAAGCAGAAGGTAGGAACTAAAGCAGAAACTACAGCGATGCTGCCTATTGACTCGCTTCCCTGGCACACGCAGCCAGTTTTCTTATGTAACACAGACACACCTGCCCAGGGATGGCAGCATCCACAGTGAGCTGGGCCCTCCTATTTAAGTTGCCAATCAAGAAAATATCCTCACAGACAATGCCACGGGACAATCTATTGGAGGCAATTCCTTAATAGAGGTTCCTTTTCCCCAGGTATCACCAGGTTGTGTCAAGCTAACGATAAAATCTAACCAGGACAGTTACTGTCTTGAGTAGCTTGTCAGACATTGTTCCTTTATTTAGCCAGGTTCCTACAATGACTTCCGCCGAGAGTTGCTATATCATTCAGTGAAGGTTGGAGACACAGAGTCTCACTATGGTTAGACTCAGACTCCTTGTCTCCTTGGCATCCAGACTAAGGACTGCAATTCATTGCCATGTGCTAGTCTGTGACTTTTAAAGCTTGATGGAAGAAACGTGGTGTGATAAATGCAGGTGTCTTGTGACTGCTGCTGTTGCCGTTGGCATCCTTCTGTCCAAAACTCCTAGCGTGGGGCAGCCACTGTCCCTAAGATCAGTTACAAACTGTGAGTGGCCCCAGGACAATTCTACAGTCTTGCTGCCCAGCGGCCTCACTATTACCTTTTATCCTTCTCTCTCTCCCTTCCCTACCTGAAAAATTCTGCTATCACCCCAACACACACACACACACACACACACACACACACACACACACACACTCTGTAATCCTCTTCTTGGTGATTCAGAAACCTTCTGGCCATGCTGCACGGTGCCAAGAATGTGAACTGAATCTGGGCAAATTTTCGTGGCCACTTACTGACATTGCTATACTCTTCTTGAGATTAGCACCACACCCTCAACCCTTCCAGCCCCATCCCAGGGGAAGCCTAGGATATCCAAAAGGAGAGGTCTCAGCTCTGCGTGGGAAGCTTAGTATGTCCTGGCAGAATGTGGTTTTTGTTTCATGACCTCAGTGTGTGATGGATCCTAACTGGGAATACGTTCTTACACATCTATTTGCAGGGACTTAAGATTCTATAACATATGTGGTGGATTTTTATTAAGTTTTATATTTAACCAGAATAATAAAATGTTATGTAACTGTGCCATTATTATGCTTACAAGATTAGCCCTTCTTAATTCCTACTGCACTATACTAGATGCTCCAGCCTTGTGCTGCTAGGTTCTCTTAAATCCGTGACATCCAGTTTGTGGTGGCAGGTGACTTCATTTGGAGATAATGAATACAAAGTTGACTAACTGCCTTTTTGTGAGTATGAGGCCTAAGTGAGCAGCTTGGAGTTCCTTTTCTTGGCCTCTGTATCTCAGAAAGAGTCAGTTCTCACAGACGATCTTACAAAGACTCAGTAAAATAGCACTACATTTAGTACTTCTTAGAAAGAAAAGGGTAGCTAGTTATCAGGAGACATTAAGGATGGAATAGTTACAACACTTGTTGTCATATATGATGAGTATCAAGAACATATGATGTAAAAAAAGAATACATGATGGACTTCTACAAACCAAAAAGGAAAGCCCAATCAATTTAGTGAAAACTGGGCAAAAGTCTTACACAGGCGTTTCCCAGAGAAGCAACACATATGGCCAGTAATCACAGGGAGAGATGCTTAAAGTCGTTAGTGTTTTATGAAATGCAAATTAAGATCATAAAGATATATCATTTTACACCAATTAGCCTGGTGCAGAATGAGAGGTGGGAGAGAAGATGCAGTATAACAGGTGCCTAATTGTTGGTGGGGTTGTACTCAATACAACCCCTTTGGAAAAGGGTTTGCCATTTTGCTATAGAATGAGATGCCGTGTATTCTGTGGGCCAGCAACTCCACTTCTGTGTATCGACCAAAAATTAATGTCCCCACAAACTCCTCGAGACAGGAAAGGCCATGGTAACATTGGTGCAAACCCTGGAAACAATCCAAAGGACCCATAACATGAAGAAAAACATCTGCAATAAAAAGGACGAACTACAGTTGCCTCGAAAGGTATAGATGAATCTTCACAGTGTAATATTGAACAAAAATGCATTATAGGCCATTTCGTCTGGGTCAACTAATAGAAAATAACATACCATCACCCCGTTTTAAAAAATGTATAAAGCACTCTGAGATACACATCCAAAGTAATGATAAAATACAAAAGTCACCATGGTGATTCTGCCGATGGGAGACATGGGGAGAAGGAAGGAGAGAAATTGTTACTGTTGGAGTAAGTCAGAGTCACCGTTAGCTGTTGGATAAGCAGAGGTTTTATTTTTTTATATTTTCATGTCACACAATATTAGGTAGTAAAGGACTCAGTTATCAAAAAGAATCACGAACAGATATCCTAAAGCAAGGTACATGATTAATATCATTCTATGCATCTCTCTGCTCATCCAGATAAATCCATACAAAATCAAGTCAAGTCTGGCTCCAGACATGCCCGTCCTTTCCTGTTTAATCTGTATGCCTGCTTCGGTGTCAGGACAACCAATACATACTATTAAATCCTTCTGGGAGGTGACAGATCTGGAGATGGGTCATTGGGGAGATGCCTCTCCCCAGTCTTAGTCAGCCCTAGTCCATTGTTCTTGCTCATGAGTAAAGCAGTATAAAATAAAAACAAACAGTTAAAGATAAAAATAAAGAGTCCTTATCCAAGCTCATTGTTTCAAGATACAGAACATCATCATTCTTTTGGAATCTTTATTATACTATGACATCATCTTATAAACTCTAATCTGGCTTCAGGGTCACAACTCCCCCCCCCACACACACACACTGCTTGCATTTGAATCTCCAAGGGGGGGGGATTGTCTGCCAGCACTGAACAAATAAATGTTCAAGTTTTTATAGTCAGGGTCATAAAAGTGAGTTTTTAGTATTACCAGAAAATGAAAAATGTTACTTTTTTTTTTAATTGGAAAAGAGCTCCAATTCCCTACCAGATCTTTCCCCTTCACTGGTTCGTGTGCAAGGTCTGAACCGAAAAGCTCCCTCTCTGTACCACGGAGATATCCCTCCCTGCATGAAGTTGTATTTGGTAACCTTACGGGTCGTTAGGTGACAGCAGACCAGACTACCTCTGGTTATGCTCTAAGTGCAAACCTTGTCCCTAATGTCATAAGTATAACTCCGTAAGGAGAATTGACAAGTCGGAAGACATGTGCTGCAGCCCAGCCTCCCTTAGAAGAGCAGCCTCTCCAAATGCCATTCGGAACCTGCTTGCTACTGTGCCCTGCAGACTGCCCTGTAAAGCTAAGAGATGCCTACCTGTAGATAGCTCTGCAGAGGTTAACTAAGAGATGCCTTCCAAGGGACTTTTTCTGGAGATGCCATTAGCCACAGAAGGACAATCACACTTCTAATTTCCAGTTGCTCTTTGGTGACTCTGGCGCCATTTCCAGACAGTGTGCAAAAGTGGAGCCATATCTAATTGCTTCTAAAGTCAAGGACCTTAGTATCTGGGCAAAGCTGGAGAAGTGCTATTGTTTTTTATTTGGAAGTACTGCAGCTTTTAATGACCTGAAACCAGCTTGCCTAGGATATTGCTTAGAAAGAAGAAATCCCTTTTCTACAGTAGCAGAGCTGGAAAAGTTATGTCCTGGTTGCCCTGCAACTGAGTTCTATTGCTTTGTGCCCAATACTGCTCAGGCAAGGAAGAACACAGGCTGTTCTGGGTTGCAAGTAAGACAGCAAGGAACCATTCAGAAAGAGAAGGAATATTTTTATTTATGAAAAGACTACATTGCTTATATTTTGCAAAACTGCCAGTCATCTCAATACAATTGTGCTCTTCCTGAATGAGTCATTTGTTTGCTGTCTGCAGGAGCAGTGGCAGATGAATTAAGCCCACAGTTCCTGCTCTCTGTTAGCAGGTTATAAGCCCTAGATTTCTCCGATGAAAGAGCAAGGAAAACATGGTTCAATTTTGGCTTATGTCTTGATAGCCTTCTCCTGGAAGGGAGTCCTCTGGTCCTGAAGGATGTGTGGCAGGGAGAGGGGGTGAGGCAGTCTTCACTCTTCTCAACCACACATTCTTAGAAGACCAACGGAAGACTAAGTGGTTGCCATTATCTGCACATGCAGGGTAATTTTGTTGAAATTCTTTTTTAGGTTGTATTTTGAAATTAGTTTACTAATTAGTTCATTTCCTTAAGTTTTTTTCCCCACACATCCTTAGTTTTGGCACATCCATTTGCCATGCCCTCCCCTCCCCTATCCCACTGTACCATCCATGCTTAATCCTTTAGCCCACATTATTCTTCCCTC